TGGTTTTCCTCAGTCCCTCCTGGAAAATGCCCGGATAACAGGTCACGACAGCTCCGCGTCATGATATACCCCACACGAAGCAAAATATTTCCTGGCAGGGCACTGCGCCCGCCAGCGCCACAGACTCACGCTTGCGACAGGCCGGCAAGCCTTCCCACTGAGAGAGATTATATAATCGATTTCGAATTTCAGTATCTGCCCATGCGCAGACATCTCAATCCATTGTTACGTCATTTTGTTTCCTTCAAGTTATAGAACAGCGCAACTGGAAGATTTTAAACCTGTATCTCCGTCCGTGTAACCATGGCAACCAAGAAACTAATCATTTAAAGCATTAAGCACCAAAACCTGACAGGAAGCGCTACGCAAACGGCACCCATCACTTACGTAAAAAGAAGTGAATTATTAGCAAATGGGACCCTCACTTCTCTTTTACTCATATACAGTCCTGCCTCTGAATTACAACTTTTTGCGTTGCGGAAGAAGGGCCGAAAAATATAAAAATCTAAGTCGAGTTCATTACAACGCGGGACGTTGTGGGTTATGTTCCTGCAGCTCAAAGATTCGACAAGTTTTTCAAAATCTTAATCCATATTGCGCTATAATTCTAGTATATTATCGCAAAACGAGTAAAGGCACATCAAGCAACATAGCATTACTCTATTTGGATTATTAACAAGAAGCTCTGGGAAGAACTAATCACCTACTTCCCTTTGATATGACACGGAATGCATAGAGGGCGAAAAAAAAAATACGGGGATATATCGTAGTCTCCCTAATGAGCATTAGAAGTGGATAAAGAGAAAAGGAAAATCCCTGCTTCTGTCGGCAATCGAAACCCAGTCGCCCGCTCCGTAGCCTAGTCACTATGCTGAGATATCCAGGCATTAATGGCAGGGGATATGCAGGGCGGGTTTTATATTCCGTTGTAGTGGGTGCTGAGCAACAGCCATCACATCGCACTGCTCTGTATCCCACATAAAGTGGCGCCAGTACCGCTTCCACAAGGCTATATGGCTACCACGTTGATAGCCATCAACATATTGTCAAGAGTATGAGTGTGACTGTAGACGGGGGTGTGAATTCGTAACTGAATTTACTGAACTCTTACAGATTCGTGATTACACACTTTGCAGTGCACTAGAGCACAAATTTTAAGTCTTCTCAGCCTGTTGTCTCTTCACCAGTCGTTGTCTGGTAACGGCTTCCAACGGCGGATATTTCCCTTCCTCTGGATTTCCGAACTGTCCCTGGCCTCAGTTACAGCAGCTCTGAACTGACTAACTAACTAACTAGCTCTCCAGGATTGTCCTGCTTATAAGATCTCGGCACGGATTGAGTACAAAATCCCGCTTCCTATTATTGTTGTATTCAACTGCCTTGGAAACTTGCTTGTTTGCAAAGCAGTTACTAAGTAACGGCGGTCTCTGCTGGCTTCACAGTTCTTGCCTTGAGCAAACATGCCACAATAAGAATGCCACTCCCTGCCTGCACGTCTTAATTTCCTGCTATCAGTGTTACTAATATACCATGCGAACTTGTGGGGTGACAGAGGTTACGTCCTTAAATTATGCGTGGGAACAGAATTTAGAAGAATGTGTACAGTTTGTTACAGTAATACGCTTGTAGAATTTAAGTAGCAATATGGTTACAGAGCGCAATATACCAATCTACTGAGATTTCGGTTTGACGGCCAAAGTTACCGAATTCGTATAGCCACATGGCGCGTGGAATTCTGCGGGGGGGGGCAGATCCATAAACATACTTTAATGTCCGGCACAAGCATATGCTACGTTCAGCAAATAAAAACAGGACAACAATAAGATATGTAGATGTATGTGGAAAACTTAATGTAACCTACTCTCAAAGGGTGCTTAACTAATTAACTAATTAAGCACTACGCCATGAAGTCATGTGGAAAGTGGACGTATAGAGCCACGCATTCTAGACCTCGGCACTGGTTGGAGGTCAGCGGACAGCTTCACGCCTCGGCCTCTTTAACCCAGGTAAGGAAACCCCGGTACCCACTGGAGAGGAGGATGGGTGGGCTCTCAGAACCGGTTTGGACCGTGTGGAGAAAAATCTTGCCCTTAACAGGACTCGAACTCCAACCCCTCAGTCGCTTTACCGACTGCACTAGTCGGAACGGGTACCAGTAAACAATTCTGTACGGAAAAAATATCACCAAATTGCGTAATTTGGCACATTCTCACAATTAAATATAAGCTATTCATCACATCATAGTACCGGCCCCTCCATGGATCGGTTATATCTGCCATACCGCCCGCATTACACGATTACGATTTTGTTATTAAAATTACACGTATGTAGAGAAGACACGTAAGAAAGAACAGCAGAAGAGGAGGCGAAGGAAGAAATTCATGAGAGAAGTAGAAGTTTACTGGACGGTGGGAGGGGCGTGCCAAAAAAGGGCACAATTTTTAGAAGGTTCCCAGACTTCGCTCTCTCGTCCTGATAAGCACAGTATGAAAACGGCTAAAATCATACATACATACACAGATGGAAAGATGGATAAATAGAAAAACAGATAAATATAGATAAACAGAGGCAGGAAGACAGACAAATACACAAGACACGCCCGGTGTTGCCGGGATGCAACGCAAACCGTGCGATAGGGAAGCCCAATATACCGACACGTCATAGCGTTGCTCTCTACCATTTTGTCCACCCTGCTGACGTTTTCCTGAATGCGACACAGCTAGTAAATAAATGTCTTGCTTACTGCACTGGTTTGTTATAAGTTTGGGGAAATTTTTAACTATAGGTGTGTAATAAAATTCTTTGGCATTAATAAAAGTAAACATCTCAGGAACTGTAACATGAGTACAGGAGCCATTTTGTCTGAGTAGTACAACCTGTACATACGAGAAATTCCAGCGATCGTCTAAAATCCATCTGGGGATTCTGACAGATTTACATGTTCAGAGTAGCCCGAACATGACACAGTGGTATTTGGAATGCCGTCCGGTTGTCTGTCTGCATGGATCTGTGCCTCACTAGCGCCTCAACTGCTGTAAGGCTTCAGTATTCAACAGTACATCCGTCCGTCACATGTCGGTCCCCGGCGAGTAAGTACAGTCCACCTCCAAAAACAGGGACCCTTCATATAAGCCCCACATATAAAATGCCGATTTCTCTCGGCTCCAAAGAATTTTAGCCTAATTTCTTTAATTTGAAAAAAAAAGTACGCTTATTAGATCACCTTGCTGTGTGTGTGTCTGTGTGTGAACCCCCTCCCAAATAGCTTTCGAATGCCTGAACCAATCTTTATGGAACTTAGTATGTATTATGGCATCTGAGCCCATCTCAAATGCTTTCCTCTATAAATCCCTTAGATCATTAATACCAACATTACCTCTCAAATTTGTGACGCAATAAGCTTAATATTGCCGATTAATGCCTGAATCGATTGTCATGAAACTTTGTATCATCATTTCACCTGAGCCCATCTCAAAGGCGCACTTCACAAATCCCTATCCCAGCAATACCAACATTACAGCCTCTCAAATCGTATGAAATACTTAATTAGTAGCGAAACGAAAGTAGGAGAGTAGTTATTCCCAGAACTTCTTGTATTAAATTCCAGTTTAATTTATGGATAAGGTCTCTCTGCATGAAACTCCAGAGGCCGTATGTTCAGGAAAATAACGGCACGCGTAATGGAGGCCCAAACGCGAAATGTCTATTCTATACAAACGTGCTTTACCTGTCGAACGGATTTAACTGCAGTTCGGAATTACCAATCAACAGTCTAGTATCTGCAACAATCGGCTTCGTTTCTAAGGTAACGTAGACAAAGTCAGTCGTACATCACGAAACACGTTAAATGTGACTGCGTGCAATGTCTTTACACCGATTTCTTCCTTGGTTTTCTAAGCTCTCTGAAAGGACGCGCCATAGCTCAAGCGGTTAGTCGCTGGGTTCCCACCGCGGCTGCCCGGGTTCGATCCCGGATCTGGTCAAGTGGGATTTGTTGTGGACAAAGTGGCGCTAGGGCAGGTTTTCTCCGAGTACTTCGGTTTCCCGTACCAATCTTCATTCCACCAACTGCTCCGCAATCACCCTCACCTATCATCTGGGGCTGTTACAATAGGCCAGAAGTGGCCGCAGTACAAGGGACTTAGTCCCACCCCACTAGCAATAAAAAGAAAGCTCTCTAAAAAAACAAAACATCTCACTATGCTACGACGAAGGGTTCTAGAATCCTGAACCGTGGTCTGTGGCGGTCCACCGGATGGTCTCTACGTTATACAGTTCACATAGTACTGCTGTAGCCGATCGCGGTGGCCGCGCGGTCTAAGGCATGAAATGTCTTCGTCCGCTCGAACGCAGCGGTTGTGAGTTCGAATCCCGCTCGTGGCATGGATCTGTTCGTGCCTCCGTGTGTAGCATGAGGCCTTGCGACGCCCAAGGAGTCCTACCGACTGAAAAAGCGGCCTGGGCCCAACAAAGAGCTGTAGAGCCATTGATGACTGAAAGAAAGATGTCCCAGTGCTTAATTAATTAAGAACTATGCCATGAAGACATATGGCGAGGAGTGGAGGTACAGCTCCACGGGTACGGAAGAACTGATGCAGAGCCAGCAACATCTGGGGATAACAGAATATATGCATCGCCGTTAACCAGATTAATAATTTCTTATGGGGAGGGGAGTTTATTTTGCCTAATCCTGCCATGTTCAGATGCACAGAACCGCTACCAAATGTCCACTTTCTTTAAAATAAAATCAATGGTTACGGGGTGAGCACATAAATATACCTGCTGAAGTTCTCGTCTTCTGGGCTGTGACACCGTGTAGTCCCGTAGGCGGACACAGAAGTTTCGGAGGAACGTGATGTCTCCGTCTTAAAGGTTTAACCGAGCCACAACCCACAAGACCGGCTGAACAACCAGCGTTGTGAAAGACTTACAACATCAATGTGGAGGCTAAGTTTAAATAAAGTATATATGTACTGAAGCCTATCCTACACGTGACTTACCTTGACACTGGAATCCTTGCTTCCCGAAACCCCTGAAACGAGAAAGAATTCAGTTAAGATGATAACAGTAATAGCATCAGAGGAATGCTGAGCTGGAGGACATAGGAATGAAGTTCAGTACAGCTGTCGCTGCACCTGTAGACACAATTGGCTAACAGACACAAAGGGGAAAGCAGCAAACAGCAAATAACAGAAACCACTGAGACGAAGCTTCTACGAAATGCATCGACTTGCACACGAATGGATACAGGGCTTAGCATGTCCTAACGCACACCAGAGGAACAAAGGTGGGACGTCCAGGGTTAACATGGGGCCGACAGGCCAAAAACTGACTTAACCCATCGGTTCTCCAACTCTGTGACGCCGCGGCCACCTGACTGACTCTAAGGAGCTGAGCCCTTCTTGACAAGTCATCAGTTTCGCAGCTACTCAATAATTTCCGGACATTTTATGGAACCCGAAAGTTCATTAATGTGTTTACAAGAACCCTCCATTGGGCTCTATACCGAGCCAGATCAATCCAATTTATACCGAGCCAGATCAATTCAGTCCATACCACCCCATCCTATCTGTCTAAGATTCATTTTAATATTATCCAGTCACCTACGTCTTGGTCTTCCTAGTGGCTTCTTTCCGTCTTGCATTACCACCAATATCCTACATGCACGCTTCTTCTCTCTCATTCGTGCTATATGCCCTGCCCATCTCATCCTCCTTGATTCTACCATTCTGATTACACTTGTCGTAGGTTATAAGTTATGAAGACCCTCGTTATGCAGTTTTCTTCAACCTCCTGTCACTTCATCCCTCTTCGTTGCAAACACTATCCTCATTATCCCGTTCTCTCTGTTCCTCCCTTAATGTCTGAGACCACGTTTCACACCCATAGAGAACCACAAGCAAAATTTTAGTTTTGTACTATATTCTAATTTTTAAGTTTTCAGGCAGCAGACGAATAGATAGAAGGTTCTAGACTGAATGGTATATATATATATACAGTAGAACTTGGTTATAACGTCATCAAAGGGACCTAAAAATAGTGTCGTTATAAACGAATGTCGTTGTAACCGAAATGGGCATTTCCACAGTAGTTTTATGTTAGTCACGTAAAAATCTACCAAAAACCGAGTTAAAATGTTGCATTTTTTAGTGAAATACGTAGTTAAGTACAGACTAACGTAACATTGACGTGGAATTGCCCAAATGTATAATGTCAAAGACATATTACAGCGCTTTTCACTGAAAATACACACAATATTTCATGAATGACTTTAACTTTCTCTTCAATGCTTAAAACTTTCCTTTTCATTGTCATGTTTTCGCTACTGCGCTTCTCTGGGTTTAGGCAGGAACACTATAGGGTAAGTAGACAATGTGAGGTCCTGTTAGACGAGATTCTAGGAAAGGAATGCAGTTAACAACCTGCCGCGTCCTCTTGCACTATTCACGCAGTCCCACCCCACACCCTTGTTTTCGCATAAAACCCACGCTCCTCTTGCAGCCCGCGGTCGTATTCTACCAGGACAGTCACGTCAGCAAGTAGAGAAAGTGAGGGTGGGCAAACATATCGAACTTTCCCATGATATCAGAGAAATTCAGGAATGGAAATGACGTTACATACGAGGTTGATGCATTTCTGCATGTCGTACTAAGCAAGGTATAAAAAGTTGCTTTATGAGGAATTAGTTCGTACCATTGAATATTTGACGCAATAGACAAGGTGTCGCAGAAACCGATGTTGCTATAACCAAGTTTTACTGTATATATAATATATACACGTACTTGGAATACAAATAAAAGGAAAATTTAATGATATAAGTGGTGCTGATAAAAATAAATAACAAAATATCACTGCAGAGCCTTTATTTAAAAAACCATAAAAAGACAATTTATTCATCGATAGAAGACTCAGAAGTTGTACTTGGTTTTGAACGTCATAATGCAGTTTTGAAGAAACTGTCGAGTTTTGTCTGAACACACAAGCGACTCATCTGCCTTCCTAAATGCCATGTAGTACTCAAATGTGAACAGCATTTTTCATATTCCATATTTCGATACGGTTTATATGCCAACCGGATTAGCAAGGGTTTACTCTACGTCACTTGGGCACGCATCTTTCGCCCGCTGAAAGCACACTTGAAGTTGTACATCGCCATTTTAAAAATCTCCGGTATTCTTAGCGCAATCCATTCTATCAAAAATATTCGTTACGTCCGTTTTAACGGGAAACAAACGCCACTGGTATTGCGTTAGTCATTCTGGTAGTCTACTGTGGACGCTATAATGAAGGTTCAGGTTTCACAAAATGAATACTCCGGCGTGGAGATCGGTTAGAATACCTCCGCCGTTGTCCTGCCAGTCGTGGAAGGAAACGAGAAGGGAACCCGGTGCCTGGGGGTATAACTGGGCTACCATCTCACTGGGGCACATAAATACAGAGACCTGGTCCTCTAGGTTGGGGGTTGGATGCAACGCTAACGACCTTGCTCTGTGAAAAATGTATAGTCTGATTCAAGATAATACAATTACTGTTTCTGGACATTATACATCGTCCTGTTTTAATTAAAACAACGTTTCAGAGACTGGAATTTATCTCCGTCTTCAGGTTGAACCTATTCAGTTGAGCCGAATCGACAGAGACAATCCTCGCCTCCGGATCGAATAATAATAAAAAAAAAGGTAACAGGCGGTTGAAGCTCCCATATTGTCTAGACAATTGGCTAACAGACGGAGGTGAGGTTGTCATACGTAAGCCCCGCCAGCTACGTTATGTTATGTTAAATTTCTCACTGTAGTTTTTCTCACCGACGGTATGCTTATGATTATTAACTTCTAAATAAATGTTGCCTACAAAATTTATACTTGTAACAGGCCGTGTTTGCCCATAGGATTGTGTGTCGCCGAGGCTGCCACATTTTCTAGATAATCGGCTTACAAATTTCGATGAGGTCAGCCTTACGCGCCGGCCGCCCTTTACCCCAGGAAGATTCTTGGTACTCATTTCTGTTAGAGGCTGAGTCGACCCAAGGGCCATAGTGCAACTGGAAGATTAGGTCAAATGAAGAATCCAATGACCTCATCGGGAATCGAACCCGCAACCTTCCGGTAAATATCTACGGTAGCGGTGGCTGTTAAAGCGATGTAAATTTGACGCTTCGCTCCCAAAATTGTTTTAGTTGTGACAGTAATTTTAATATCTTGATTTTACTGTTATTCCTTCTTCGGCGTTTTAGCCACAATATACAGGAGTACTGAGAAAGAAAGCAACCACGTCACGGGATACGAACCGTTGTTTCTGTTTGCTGTATGTAATGTCAGAACACAGTCTGCTTAGTTACTGCCTTCAAACTAACGCAAAATTGTTATCGCCATAAAAACTTCTTGTGCCCAAGAACAGAAGCAGATGAAACGAAGTGTTCGCCGTGCTCGTCCGGCAATTTCTGCGACAGGGGTGTTATGCCGGGCAGTGCAACCACAGACGAGCAGGGGAGCAAGTTTCAAGCATGAACGAGACAAATGTAAACGCTAATCTCATCCCAACGGCTTTGTTAGTCTCACGTTCTTGATATCTGTTACATGATTTTCTGAGAAGTAGTGGGTCTGGAATGAGGTCCAGTCAGCCTCGTGAGGATAACTGAGGAGCTATTTCAATGAAATGGCGGCTCCGGTCTAGAAAACCGAAATTAACGTCCGTGGGATTCGTTGCGCTGACCACGCAACACCCTCTATCCGCTAAAGTTGGCACTAACTTCGCCGACAAGCGGTGGTCGCTCGGTCGGTATTGTTCGCTTGCGGATTACAGGCCGCGGAGGCCTGAATTCTGTAAGAAAGAGCATATATTTTTGGGAGGATTTTCAACGAAACGTCGAGTAAGTGAGCCTGTCTGCTCCGCCAAGTGTCTGTCCGTCCGGCGCAACCACAGAGAAGCCGCTCGACTGACTGACCTTCATGGCAGTTGCTAGTGGGGAGTTCTCTGCTGCTGTCAACACATTTACACGTTGGTTGAAACGGACAGCAACGACGAGTAACATACACGGATAAATAGTACTCAGAGAGTTCCGGTGGAGATCACGCGAATAAATGCAAGTACGTCACCATGTAAAGTGAAGGTTGTTGTTGTTCGGTTTTAACCAAAAACTGAATGTGTTCAGAATTTTAGTGGAACTCCTAAAGTTAAGAAATAACCATCTCTCCTTTTTTAGAACGCCAAGTCAAGAAATTACTTGCGTTTTATAAGAACCCAAGTTTCACTACCGTACTCACAAGAGACCGACACCGGTTTGTATTCTGAAACAAGTGAACTGAGTTCATAGTCTCGCACGCTATTTCCTTAACATCCACTTTAAATTACTGTCCCATCTACATAACAGAGCAGAGTAAACCATCGCTAATCCGGTTATAGTTAATCGGGACTGAAATATGAAAATTGCTGTTCACAGTTTAATAAAAGAGACACTTGAAATTTTTGAAAGCAGATGAGTCAACTGTCTCTTCAGACGAAACTTGACAGTTTCTTAAAGCAACCATTATTACCTTCAAAAATATGTATACCTTCCAAGCCTTTTACCGATGAATAAATGTGCTGTCTTTTTAAACCTTTTAAATAAACGCTCTACTGTGATATTTACATCCATCAGCACTGCTTGTATGATTACATTTTCCATTTATTTGTGTTCTAAGTCTTTTAGTGCTACCTTCCGCTTCACCAATCCGGATGACCTTTCCCACC